GGGTAAAGACCTCCAAGAGCAGCTGTTTTCTATCTCTTCTTTGCAAAGAGAAAAATAAGTAATGGTGATAACTCTTTCATTCAAAGTCTTCTAAACTATGGGTCAGGAGAGTTAGTAGTTGAATAGATCCTCTCAGGAGGTTCGTGCAGTTCCTGATTGTGTCAAAATATGACGACAGCCAGGCAGATGCTAGGAGAATTCAGAACTGTTTGAAAGTAGCAGCCTGTAGCAGGTTCTTGGCAGGTATTAGGCTTTGCAAATTTGACTAAGCAGAGAAGTTTTTATCATTCGTTCATACCACAGAGGTCAGGTAGCACAGAGGTGCTCAGTGAAGGGACAAGGGCTCCGACATTTGCTTTCAGAAGTGACTCTCAGTAAGATCATGCAGCTCTTGCTCTTCTGCATCATGAATGCTTCTTGATGTGTCCTGTTGACGTAGATTCGTTTAGCACTGCATTACAGCTGAGATGCTAAGTAAAAAGTAATAGAGCTGCTGGCTTGGCAGCAGCATGTTTTAAACCGCATTTCATACAATATCAGCATAGAAAAATGTCTTGGTTTAGTCTTGTCTTTGCAGAAAGCATGCTGAGCTTCTACTGTGAAATAAAAATGCGACTCAAATCTATAAACAAATTCTTTTTGCAACTGGCAGCATGCTTGCTTTGAATACAATAATTGATAGTGTTTCACACTAGGAAATGAAAGCCAGTTCTCCAGAATGACAAGCCTCCAGTTTCACGCAGAATGAAGTGCATACTGTAGCGTTGTCTTCATCAGTCTTGGTAGCTGTGATGACTTCTGTCTCAATGGATTCTACTTGTACTATGTGCCCTTGCTTATGTCACGTGGCAAATAACAACCTGAATGCTGTATCCTGAAATTTCTGTGAAAATACTCAGTCTTGAACCACTACAACTCCTGACTGCGCTACGCTGATCGGAGTGTATGTGTATGTCTAATAATGGATTTTTTGGGAGCATTTCCGACACGCAATTAAAATACGGTGAGTGGCTCAAGAGATGGTCCAGTGGAACACGGACACGAGCAAGGCAATTTGACAGTTATGTGATGTTAATTTCATAGTGAAGGTGATGACAATCAATGTTTATTTGCTTTGAAAGACTATAGAATCACAAAATCACAGAATGTCCCAGGTGGAAAGGGACTTCTGTGGGTGAACTAGTCCACCCCCCCTGCCGAAGCAGGGTCACCTCCAGCAGGCTGCACAGGACCTTGTCCAGGCGGGTCTTGAATATCTCCAGAGAAGGAGACTCCACAACCTCCCTGGGCAGCCTGTTCCAGTGCTCCGTCAACCTGTTCCAGTGCTCTGTCAAGCTTACAAACTAAGCTGGATTGATGTGAGCAGCACAAACATCAGTGGATGTTTGTGCCTTTCGAGGCCTAAGATGGTGTTTCGGGCAATGGCATGGTTTACAGGATATGTTTCTCTGACATTTTTCTCACTCCTCCCTCTCACAGCTGCTGTGCAGCATTTTTTACCTTTTCTTAAATATGATACCACAGAGGTGCCGCCAGCACAGCTGATGGGCCCAGCTTTGGGCAGCAGCGGGTCCATTTTGGAGTTGGCTGGACCTGGCTCTCTCCGACATGGAACTGCTCCTGTCTCTTCTTGCAAAGGCCACCCCTGCAGCACCCCGCGTTACCAAAATGTTGCTGCATAAACCCAATACACTTCTCTAAGCAGTTTTTTTTAAAGGTGGTATTTGCTATCACCCTTCCCTTTTCTAGTTTGTTTTGTTGTTGAGTATTTTGATCTCTGAAGTATTTTCTAGAAGCAGTTTAGTTATTGAATAGTTATTTTTATTGGTAGCACATATATGGAGGAATGTTCACTGTGCTTTAAAACAATATGGGTCTAAGACTTTTCAACTATCTCATTCTCCCCTCTAAACACACACTCTCTGGCTTATTTCTATTTGCAGACTCCCATTTCATCAGAGAAATATAATTTTGTGTTCAGGCCGTGTATTTACAAATAGGCTTTTTTTCCTGGAGGCACAATTGTATTTGTTGGATAAAATTCATAAGCATTTGTTATACGTTATTGAAGATAACGTATGTTTGAATGTTCTTGTATTTTTAAGATAAACAAAAGAAAAGATTTCTTACTGGTTATTACGATTTAGTAGCACAATATGGTACAATTATGTGAAGAATTAGGTAATTTTAACACAAGATAACATCAAAAGTAATTTGTTTCTCTTCTTTTCCTTTGGTATTGTTTCAGCTAATGTTTCAAAGCAGGGCTTGTTCACATAACAATGCTATTATTAATAACCTTAACATGCTTGAGACCAATTCTGTTGGATATGTAGATTTACTAGATAAATTGTAGAAATTTTGATTTTGACAATGAAAAAATTAAAGAAAAGTAGGCACAGACTGACACTTTAAAAATTCTGAAAAGTCCAGAAAACTGTCTTGCTTAAGGTCACTTAATTATATTTTATCGATCCATTAAGGCTTCTGAAGCATAACTCTAAGCATGCAAGCATGCAAAAATTAGTTGGCATTCGATTAGAGTTACTTTGTATAAATACAAAAAATCAAGTAAAACTTTAGGTTGTAACTTCATCTTAAACTTTTGTTACATGTAAGTTTGAAATAATTTTCCAAATTTTATTTTAAACATATTTATTTTCTAGAAAAGAAAGATGTAACACAGAGCTTGGAAAGCTACACAGCAAAATGCCCTGGTACAATGGAATTCATCACTCTGCCAGATGGTTTGAAGTTACCTCCTGTGCCGTTCACCAAATTGCCTATTGTGAGGTAAGACTCCAAAATACAGTCTTTCACTTTTACACAGTACCTGTCAAATTTTAAAGGATACTGGAAAGATGTATCTTCTAAGTTTACGCAAGTTGTTCACAATAACATGAAAAAATGTCAAAATGTCAAATTGCTTTGAGAAGTTCTTAGGCAAAAATAGAGCCTTTGAGCAGAAAATACTTTCTGTGGCCTTTAGTTTCAGAAGGAGAGTGTTTTTTTTTTTTATGTGCTGTCATTCAAGAGTTTCTGACACAGTCGAAGAAAAGTATTTTGTAATTGCAGCTGAGATTTAAGTTGGCTACCTCATCATACTGAAGGTCCATGAGTTGGCTGCTCTCTCCATCTATGGAGCCTGGAACATAGCTGGAACTGATGCATTTTGTAGCTGTTCCTTTCCAGATGCTGCGTTTTCAGGCTGGCATCTTCACAGGCCTATTCTAAATCTATGTTCCTTTTTGTGCCTGTGTGCCAAGGCACATCGTGCAGCCAGTTCAATGAATAATACCTTGTTTGAATTAAAGCCTACCGTGAAGTATTAGAGAGAGAGAGAGAGAAAAGAGTCATTGGGCATCAATAATAAAAGGCTAAAAGAAAATCTTTTTCAAGAAGTGACTTTTTGAAGGAAAGATAATTGCTAGTCAGAAAAAATATGGTAGAGGTTACTGAAAAGAGTTCTCAGAGATTGGAGTTCTCAGTGGGATGTTTTCAAACATTTAATGAGGCAAGAGTTCTGGTATCATACAGAGATAGTCAAGTGTATAACCAAAGTGAAAATTATATTTATTTTCAGATTACTTTTAGTCTCTAAAATGACCTTTTTTCGTGATACAATGAGTTTTACCATGTTCTGTCTAACTTATTTTCATTTTTTTTCCGCATTTACTGAAGAAAGGAGAGGGATTTTTCACAAGGGTGTGTAGTGATAGGACAAGGGGGAACTGCTCTAAACTATAAAAGGGCAGATTTAGATTAGATATTAGGAAGCAGTTCTTCACCGTGAGGGTGGTGAAACACTGGCCCACGTTTCCCAGAGAAGCTGTGGATGCTCCCTCCCTGGAAGTGTTCAAGGCCAGGCTGGATGGAGCTCTGAGCAACCTGGTCTGGTGGAAGGTGTCCCTGCTTATGGTAGGGGGGTTGGAACCAGATGATCTTTAAGGTCCCTTCCAACTCAAACCATTCCATGATTCTGAAGAGCCCTTGTCTAACTTTCTGTAGTGCATTTAACATGGTAGGTGTGCTCACTCTAACAAGTAGTTGTGTGTGAGGTGCTTGCTTAAGGTACATGTTTGACTGGAGCATATGGTTGTATGCGGTCAGATGGAATTGCATGCAGAATCGGAACGGTCACACCATTTCCAGTGATGTCCTGGAAACAGTGTTTTGTCTCCTGGTTGGGCCAAGTCCAAAGCTGTGCACTGACTAGCTACCCAGGCCACCCCGCTTTTCACAGGGGAAAAATGCATCTCCCCTCAGGTCTCCCAGCATCGTTCCCTCGGTGGATCCAGTTAGACCTCACAAGTGAACTGGGATGACTTTGCAGCTGCCTGCTCTGTGCTGCCTGTTCAGTGGTGCAAGTGCATACTTTGAAGTTGCAGCTGGTATCGGCTTCTTTGCTGGAAAACACGCTGTGTGGGGACACGATGCCAAAACCGTAACTGTTAGAACCAAAGCTACATATTACAGTGGGAAAGTTAGTTGATGAATTTATTATCAGCTGACCTTGGGCTTGATTTAGTTTCACAAAAAAATCTATGGATAGAGCTGAACTAATCTTATTTGACTATCCTAGATCATATTTCAAGTCAAGACACATAGGTAGTCACTTCCAGGTTTCTGCTTTAGGATGAGTTGAATTACTGGAGTATGTGGACTCATTTTCCATTGAGTTTAAAGATGTCCAATGACAAGTTCAGGTAACTGGGTCTGTGTTAAATCAGTTCCCTGGTAAGTGCATTCTGAAGGCAGGTTCCCAGCTAAATACATGAAGGACGCCTGTATTTCTTCTGAAAGTTTTTAGACAACAGATTTAGTGCAAATTTTAACCTAGCCTTTTTTTTTTTTAAAAAAGAAAAATTAAAGAGTATTTAAAATATTGAAGTTAGTTAAGCAAACTTGTATAGTCCTTTCTAGTACTCGAGTTACGTGGTTGTAGAGAGAAGTTAGAGGAAAAGCTTCCATGAAAATTTTTTTAAGGCAAAATACCTTCTTTTGAGAGCAGGAGTGCTGTCAGGCACTTAGTGCCTCTTGCAGATCTCTGTTCTAGGCATAATCTTAGTATTACATAATATAAAACCAAAACTACCTTTCTTTATCTGGCTGTGTATGGTATCTGTCTGCCTTGGTGGTCAAAGAGCTGTGGAAACGTGATGCTAAAGTTTCCTTATGAGTCTAACCCTCAACTTGCGCTAAAAAAGCAGCGTTGTGTTTAGCTGGAAATTGTTAAATGCTGAGTTAGTCTCAGGTTTTTGCTTTCTGCTTAACTTTTAAACCATGGAGGAGGTGCATTGTACTGGATGTATTCCATAACATTTTCTTGTTCTTCCCCATGCTGAATATTGAAGAAAATTCTGATCTGGAAAATACGGGAAATGCTGATCGAATCCTCTTCTACAGGAGTCATGCATATAGAGGCCAGTCAAAACTTTCACAACAGATTACCAAGACTTCAATGGGAAAGGCACTGCCTCACTTAAAATCTTTTGCATGCTGAGAGAAACGGACAAGCACATTATATCGATGACCTCTAAAGGTCCCTTCCAACCCAAACTATTCTATGGTTCTGTGATACTTACTTTTTATTCCTAGGGCTACCTTTAAGGAATCGCTCACCATCCGGGCACTGCATTTACACTGTCAGCTTGCGCTGACCTGGCTGTGCTTGGAGTGTTGAAAATAGTTGCTGCTGCTTTGCCATGGGGTGAGGAACTCAACATCAACATGATTTAACAGCTAAGAATTGCTGTTCATGCTCCTCTCCCCCTTCTTGTCTTTTGAAAGTTCTATGAAAGCCATACTGATGAAAATCTGTAATCCAACGGAATATTAGTTGCGACTAAATATAAAGTCTCTAGTGACATCTACACAGCAGACCCAGTGTGTCGTAGAGCTGTCGAGCTAGTTGGAAAATAGCCTGCTGCAGGACTGCAGGGCTCTGAGCTAAATCATGTTAATTTTTGAGACATAAATTACAAATGTGTGGAAATGTGGTTTTGATCAACATTGAATAACCTAAGCTTGTGATTCAATCCATGCTAGAGCCCTCTAGAAACATACACATTTACTGATGATGATGCTGCCTTCTATTTACTGTTGGCATTTCATGGTCTACTAGTTTTTAATCCATTTAATGTGAGGTGCGTATTTTGGATGCAGATTTCTTAATCAAAATACTGTCAAATATTTAAATGCCGCAGCGAAATTGGAACACAGTTGCACTGTTACCTTTTTCTCCCCCGTACCTATAAAGCAAAAGAAGAGATTTGGCTTGGCAAAATCTTTATATTCCATTACTTGTGTTAACTAATATTTCATGTCTAGCTGTCCTTTGATGAAGTGTTGTATTCTCTATAGACTCTCTTTTTTTTGTGTGTATCATGCCTTTTAACTAGATGCTTGGTGTCTTACTGATGTGCTTTAAATATTATCATATTTTTATGTCTTTTCTTTTAGACTTTGGAATTTGGGGCATTTTTTTATTGACATTTCAAATACTGTAATGCAATCTGGAAAGCTCCTTGATGAATTTTTATTTATTTTGATGAAGCTTCAGAAATTAAAAGCGTGTTGGATTGGAAAGTATTCCATATAAAATCATCAACTAGTATTTTCTGTAATACAAAATAGAAGGATTTATTGTCTTTCTACTCTTATAGATGCACTATTCCCATTTTCAGAATTCACCTGTGTTAAAATTTGTTTTCTTACTAATGTGCTTAACGGAAGAATACATTTTCTTCCTTTTCACCACTGATGTCTTTCAGTTGTCATCATATACTTTTCTTACTATAAATTTATGTGGTGCCATTTTTTTCCTTCCCTCTGAGTTAGGGTTTTAAGACATTTTTATCATTTCCCCTCTAAGCAAGGTTGTTTTTAATTAACACAAATTTTTCCAAATACAAGATTTTGATCTTCTGGGTAGCTAGTGAAATTATTTTGTAATTCCTAATTGTCACTCATTTGAATTCAGTCAGGCTGGGCCAGGGGCTAGAAATGTACGTTACTGAAGCTTTTCACACAAAGGAATTAATATTCTATATACGACCTGTGAGGGTACAGCTGTCTAATCTGTGGTTGAAGAACATTGCTTCCACTGTCATGCATTAAGATAAAAAAGGTTATCTATTTAGATAATAATGATGGATAAGCCAAAGCACTTCTTTCTATACATAAAATAAAATTCCTTTTTATTATCACTTTATCAAATTTAATGTTTGTTTCCTCAAATAAGTATCATTTACATGTTTTGCTTTAAGTTGCATTCTGATTTGTAACAAAATTCTGTCAGAAGAGGTTTCAAAATATGAAATCCTCAGGAATCTGTCATAGTTTCTCTTTATTCCTCCTACTTGTTGGCTATTATTTTGCATTTGATTGCGATGCTGACACTAAGTATTTCCAACAGATAATATATGGATATGATTTATTTCTTGCTCTGAACTACTTGTAGTGTTATCTGGTAACTTCTTATTGGGTGTTTGATATCACAGAGACAACCTGTCTGTGTAGTGTTACTCTTACAGCCTCATTATTTTTCAGCAGTAGCACATTATCTTGAAGGATTTGGGAAGTTTTAAAAACAAATTGTTTTCTTGTATGTATGTAGTTTTTATTAGTGGGATATTGATACAACTGGTCTTTACTGTGCTGAGGACTTAGGTTATTTTTGTGTTTTCAGCAATAGTTTATTGTCTTGAAATTAAATATAATTCTGTAACTTTGGCAAGTGAATTAATTCAGTTTTATCCTGTAAATGATGCAAAACTCTTTTAACATGTAAAAGAATACTTACCTGCTTTTCCAAGTGAAGACACTTGATTTTAAGTTGTTTCTATGACCTTTACAGCTTGAGGAAGGCAGGCTTCTTTCTTGGGGCACCAATCCTTGTCATAGTATTTGAAGAACTTCGTAAAACATGATAACTTCATCATGTACTGTAACATTTATAACCTCTTTGGTTTACTGCAGCATTATCAAAGAATTTCAGTGAGAGGAGTTTTACTGTGGGAGGTGGGAAGGGGGGAAGAAGGGAGTTAATCTTTGAATAAGTTTGGCTTTTCTAGCATTGTTGCTCTTGGCCTCTTAATTGGCTTTAGAAGTCTCCGAAGGCTTTAGCTGGACTCTGATGTTGTTCGTGTCTTGGTATGTGCCTGCTGTATCTTCATGTATCTTTTCAAATTTTACTGCTGGAAAGTTTTGTCAACATTTTATTTCATTTTTGTTTCATTCTACCTTAGAGTGGTGGGATGCCTCTAGCAATTAGCAAAAATCGTACTTTTATTCTATAGGAACCTCTTTTTTCACTTGAAAACCAAGTGTTTAAAAAGTCATAGTTTTAATCCATAAGTGATTATAGAGGGGAGATTCTTGTCTCTTGATGATGTTCTTCATTAAAAGCACAAATACATCAAGCTTAATAAACTGTAGCAAAATGGCTGTGATACTGAATAGTGCCTTTATTGACCTTTTGGGTTTACTTTCCTTGCTCCTTCCTGGCTATGAGTAACTAGGATTCTTACAGCTTTTATAATGCTGCTACTTTTACTGGTTATCCACTAATTTATTGCTTGTTTTTATGCCCAATATTTAGTCTTTAATTTCCCCATCAGCACTGGAAGGCCAGTGATTTCCCTGCATGGTATTATAGGGATTTGGGTCTAACAGGAAAGCTACAAGGATGATGAGGGGACTGGAGCATCTCTCCTACGAGGAAAGGCTGAGGGAGCTGGGCTTGTTCAGCCTGAAGAAGAGAAGGCTGAGAGGGGATCTTATAAATGCTTATAAATACCTCAAGGGCAGGTGTCAGGAGGATGGGGCCAGACTCTTTTCAGTGGTGCCCAGCGACAGGACACAGGGCAATGGGCACTGACCCTGCTTCGGCAGGGGGGTTGGACTAGATGACCCACAGAGGTCCCTTCCAACCCCGAACATTCTGTGATTCTGTAACAGGGATATAGTCTCACAAATCATTTGTTTTATGTCTATTTGTAATTGCTTTCTGGTCATTCAACAAACCCACTCAGATTTCTGGGACGTTTCCTTCTGTCCAGAAGCAATGCTGTGCATTTTAGGTGTTTTACAATCTGTTTTATTCACCTTGGAGAAGTTCTTTAATTGTATTACATTGTCCAATTAAATTTTGTCTGGCTTCTGTTTGGTGAAGTTAAATATTCGGTTGCTTTCTGCCCTGGACTTGTGGTGTATCTGTTGTTCAGTCTGCACTTCACTTGGAAATTAATAGCTGAATTTCAGATCACCTATCTGGCTAGTTTGGGTTTTGTTGGTTTCTACAGAAGATGTTTTTCCTTTGGTATTTGTTTTATGAGAACTTTCTGAAACTTTGCCTTCATTTTCCTTGGGTTGGTATTACTTTCTTTTGTACTGTGTTTACTTCACATTTTCCATTTCAGGTATTTTAATCAGTACCTACTGAGAGTGTTACTTAGTATTTATCAGTTAATTTTTAATCCATCCATCTATTATAAAATAAAACAGAATAAATAAAGTAAAATATTATAAAATTCTTTTTACTTAAAAGATCTGTGAAGCTTTTGAACCTCCCGACGAGTCTCCGACCTCACAAAATGAAAAGTCTGCTTGGCCAGAACGTGTCAACCAAAAGCCCCTTCATATATTCTCCAATTATCGCGCACAACCGTGGGGAAGAACGAAGTAAGAAAATAGGTAAGAATATTTGGCAGTATTTTCCATTGTTTTTTTAAATGAGAAAGTCTTTCTTGGTCAAGGAAAGCAAACCTGAACATTACTTCCTTGTATTGGAAATAATCAGCATTTTAGCCTGAAGTTCTGAAGGAGCAAAGCTTTGTTTTCCGTGGGACAGTTTCAAATTCAAAAGAGGAATAAAGTCTCATAGATGATAAAATTGATTTTCAGAGGAGACAAACTAGTTTAATTTCCTTCTCAAACAAAAGAGAAATTGGGGAAATCTTAGTTCTGATACATTCTGTTCAGCAGCAGCCAGCTTAGTCACTTGTCCTGTGTGGTGCCCTGAGACAGATGCACTGTTGGGGTTTGAAATTAGGATGAACGAGCTGCAGTTTCTTGGACAGAAGATGCAAGTCCATAGGAAACTGGATTGTGGTAGTTTGTCACCCATAGAATTTTTTTTTAACTTATTTTTGGGTAATATTGTTAGACCGTTGGGATTTTAAAATTGGTTTTCAGTTTGTCTCAGGAGAAAGCAATTCATTTAGCTGATATCCTGTTATGATTTAACTTAAACTCAGAATGATTAGCTGTTGTGATTAGTCAATTTTTCTTAAAGACAGTTCAGCAAAAATCACAAAAGCCTTATGAACAATGTTTAGAATACTGTAGTCATTTTCTGCTACAGGATTATTTCATTTATTAGAAAGCTGTTCCATGCAGTAATTATGCCATTGAAAATAGATTAAAAGGCTTGTTTCAGATCCTGGATTAATTGACAAATATCAGTAGTCCTTTTTGTTGCTTTTGTGCATGTCACATGCATGATAATTTTTAACATAAGCATTAGTGTCAGCACAAAAAGGACTTGTGTGACGGTGGAATAGAACTGATTGTAAAAACTTGAATGCAGAAATTAGCAGAATGCTGTTTATCTTGAATTTGGCTCCTTATGTTACTGTTTTTAGTACTATGTAATCACCAAAAAAAGTAGAAAAACAGTACTTTGAAATGTCACCCAGGTTTGTTAGATTTTCTGTGTCATGTTTTGAGTTGTAAAATACTAAATATTTAGCAGGTCATTGTCACTAGTGGCACCAACTAATTCTTCAAGTAGGTAGTTCCGGAACAAGTTAGAGCAGCAGCTTTTGAGCTGGACTAGCGTGTGGGCTCCTCAGCACCCAGACTTCATGTTCTGTCCCCTGCTCCCCGCCCCTTTCGAGCACGAATGCGTATGAGAGAGATGGGGAATGCTTTCCCATTCCCATATTCTCCATTTCTCTTGTTACTGGTAGTGTATTTGTATTGTAGGGAATTGCATTGCTCTTTGAGACTCCTCCCTTTTTGTCTCTCCTTTTTACCCTTCAACAGTCCTTTTTTATCTATTTTTAAAATTAATTTCCTCCAGCAGTGTAGCAACCGCCTGGCTTGTTCATCTGGATTGAGCCTGGCCTGCAGAGCCAGTACTCGGAGGATCTCTCTGTATGGTTTCTTCATTCTAACAGGTGGGGCCGCAGGCTTTTCCCACGTAACCGTCTAGGTTAGATGTTGGACTTACGCTGCCTGTGCTGTGGAGCCCTGATTATGATTAAGATGTCCCTTGCCTTGAGAAGAACATGCACATTTGCTGATTGGTTTTATGATGATGAGTATTTTCAGTAAGTAGTTCAAACATGAGGAATTAGGAGATACGCAGAGGTATCGATTAGTATCTGGCAGTTTGGATGGACATGGTTGAGTGCTACTTTGCTGCAGTACTACTTTGATTTAAAAAAATAAAGGATAAGAAAAAGAATAAGGATAAGAAATTTTAAAAATGTAGATGTGTGGGAACATCTTAAAGTACTTTCTTGTTAAAGAAATATTTTTTTGGAAAATAGCTTATATTATTTCTCTTAAGAATTTGTTTAAAAATTGATCACAATTAAATTTTCAACATTTAATCTCTTAGGTATACCTTGTCATGTTTTTTCATTTAAATAAAACCTTATTGCTAATCTTGTCCAACAGTTGTAGTATGCAGAATTCTTGTTCCTTGATGGATAGAAAAGGAACCTGCATTTTTTGAAGCGGTTCCAGTTAGGATGTGTTTATATGATAGGAGTTTTATATTATACAGGGCAGTTTCTCCTTTTAGGTTTTTATTTAGCCTGAGGAGGTGTCTGAACTGTTTGTGATCCTGTAAAGCATTTGTCTGTTGAAGTATATACACAGTGCATTCACTTGTAAAAGCCTCTAATGTTTCTTTCAAAGTTTCACAAACAAAAGAATATACAACATAACATCAGATACTTCCTTTGAAAGAAGCTGAGAAATTTAATAAACTTAGAAACTAATAAGAATATTTTAATGACATGTATTTAATTAAAAATGACAATAACAAACGAACTGTGTTTTTCTTACATGGAAATATGCAAGCCATATTTTGGTTAAATTATTGTTACAGCAAAGGAAATCAAGTACTGCTGACAAACCAAAGGGAAACAAACCCCCTTAGTCTCGAGGAAATGTTTTCAGCTTTCAGCTTGATAAGCTTTTCTGATGGGAAACAATAAATGGGATAATTATATTCTGGTTAAATTGGTTTAATAGCATGCTAGTCATAAGAAATAAACCTACTGATTTTTGACATAAAGTGTTTTTTCTTGTTTTAAAGTGCCAATAGTCTAAAGCAGCAAGAATGCATAATATAGTTCCATTAGTAAATCTGGTAACTAATGTCATGCCTCTGTTAGGTGATATAAATGTAGCTCTTTACCTAGGACCGTATAAACTGATTTTACCTTTCTTTTCAAAAGCTTTTCCCCCCGAGGAAGCAATTCTGTAGCATCGCCCTGGCGTCATTTACATGGGGCAGCTAGACCTTCTGGAAAGGAAACCAGAGGCACCTAGAGAGACCTCTAGAAGTGGGCGTGTCTTTTTGGTGCTGGTAGGGGACTAGTCATGTTTTCATGTGCGAATGAGAAGACGAGATATATATATCTCCTTGCAAATAAACCATAGAATTAGAACAGTCCAGGTTGGAAGGGACCTCGAAAGATCCTCTGGCCCAACATTTCTTGGGAAGGGGAGCCTAGATGAGATCATCTAGCACCCTGTCCAGTCGCATCTTGAAAAGCTCCAACAATGTGGACTCCACCACATCCCTGGGGAGGTTGTTCCAGCGAATGATTGTTCTCACTGTAAAAAATGTCTTTCTTATATTGCGATGAAACCTCTCCTGCTGCAACTTGTACCCATTGTCCCTTGCCTTCTTGTTATGGTTTGGCTGTGGCTGG